TAACTTTTGTATTTTTAGTAGAGATGGGGTGAAACTCTACTAAACCAGTAGGTTGGTCTCGAACTCCTGACCTCAGATGTTCTGCCTGCCTCGGCCTCCTAAAGTGCTGGAATTATAGGCATGAGCTATCGCGCCTGGCCAGCACTTGTATTAATTCATTTAAACCTAATATCCACCCTTTGAGATGGGTTCTCTTATCATCTTCATTTAATAGGTAAGGACAAAGGCACAGAAAGGTTAAGAAGGTTGCATGGGTAGTAAGCTTCAGAGCTAAGCAGTCTGATTCCAGTATTACTACAATACTATACCATATATACTATTACTTTACTAATATATCCCTAAGAGGAAACCCCTGAGACCTGTTATCTGCCAGATACTGGGACATCATCCTATGCCCTCCTGGTTGCCTACCTGTCTTTTCCGCAGACCTATATCTGCCATTTAAATCAGTGTCCTTGTGAATACCCAGACGTGTTCTTTCTTCCAACTGCCTGAGCTACCCTACACCAAGCACAAACTTACACATTTTCAATCCAGAAAGTGCCCAAACAGTGTCCTCCTTACCCAGGCCATGAGGCTGATCTCAGCTCCTCAGCCAGCTTCCCTTCTAGTCCATTTTTTGGGAGCTGGGCCTCCAGCTGGGATACTCTCTGGATGAGACTTTCCAGGTCCTTTTTGGCCTGAAGCCCTGGTGAGTAGAAAGCCCCAGTGCCATCAGACAGCCACCCCTCATCCTCATCAGGGACACTGTGAGGTGAAGACCCCTCCAGGGTGCCAACAGCTCTCAGCTTCCGGGGTCTTTCCAGACTAGACGAATAATCACTTGTAACCGAGAGGGACCGGACCCGGCTCTTGAGGTTTTGAATGACCTTGTTGGCATTCTGCAGCTGGGCCTTCAGATCTTTGATGTCCTTTCGTAGGACCAAGATGTTTTCTGACTTTCCATATACCCGGAAGTCTTCCTGCTTCCCTAGCTGGTTCTCCAAGGGCTTCCTCTTGGAGGAACCAGCCAGCGTTGAGCCCCGGCGCCCCTGCTCAGAGCACAGTCCCTCCATCAGGACCATTTCCTTGAGGCTGTTGTGCTCCTCACACTCTGAAAAAGGAGAAAGATGTCTTCCTAAATAAAAGTTGGATGTGCTATTGTGGCCACTGCCTTTGAGACAAGGCAAGTTTGGTCGTGAGGACAATAATTACTAGAGAAAAAGTTGAAGAAGTACTTTATTCAACCCTGACACTGTACTGGGTATTCGAATACAATATTTCTTATCTTCCTTATACCTACAAGTTAGGTATCATCACCTTCTATTTTACTGACTGGGGAAAACAAAACTTAAAGAGAGGTGGTAAACTAGCTTGTTCCAGATCACTCAAACTAGCACATGGCAGAACCAGAATTCAAATCCTCCAATGTCCTGTGTTTGTTCCACAAACACTGATGTTTCTTAAGACATTAACATGGCCTTATCTATTTAGGATGGCCACAAGAATGTAGGACAAGCTATTCCTGCATGCT